ACTCAATTTAAAACCCAAATAATCCTCTTTTTAAGAACAAAGCTACCCTTGGACATTAAAAATATTGAGTGTAGGGGAGAACCCGTAGCAGTTACATGGCCAGAGTTAAGCACTCCTTAGGGGAGAGTTTGTGTCATCATTGCTCATGGCCACGCACTGGCTCAGTAACGTTTGCTTTAAAACTTTCCGGACTCAAAGGCTCAAATTATTCTGCCATTCGCTAATGGCCATTCTCCACTAGCCATTTACAACTGCATTTTTTTTTTAATCATTTTTTAAGTAAAATTTTGGCTCCTCTCTCAGGTGCCTCTGCGGGCCAGGTTTAGGCAGAGGAGTGGTGTTTTTCCCTTCGTGCACATGGGCTCATCCTGCTCCTCAGCTCTTCTGAAAGGGTGTGTTTCCACTCCAGCTCAGGAGCAGAGGCTCTGCCCTTGCTCAGCAAGAGGGCAGAGCTGCCCTCCAGGTACTTGTCATGGGGTATGATCTCAAACTCACTGTAATGCTGTGATTTATCTAAAGCTTCAAGAGAAACATCTATGAAGGGCTGCCTGAACTCTTATCTACATTGTCCACTCATTCTTCAAGATATTACGAAAGTCATCCTTCGATGAATCAGATTGCCAGCAAAATGCATATGAAGAATACTTCATTTTACACTCCTGCGATCAGAATTGCTTTAAATATTAATAATGACATTGATAGCTGTTTCTATTTATTAAGGACTTAAAATGTGCTTAAATGTAATTCTCTCACTCCTCCCAATGACCTGAAGAGGTATATATGTTTTCTGTCTCACAGATGAGGAAATTGAGGCACAGAGAGTTTAAGTAACTTGCCCAAGATGGTAAGTGGTAGAGCTGGGATTTGAATCTAGGCTCTTAACCACTTTGACATTATGCTCTTGGCTTTTACTGAAGGCCAGTGTCATATTTACTAAGAAGGTACTGTTGAAGATGTTCTATTTTAAATACCAACCTTACTTTTTGCTTTATCTTATTTTTCCCTATGCAATTTACTTTTTAAGTAAATTATATTGCTGACTCGTGTACTTTTGTATATGAACAAATTATATTTGGAACGAAGAGGAGTACATACAGATAAAAAAAGAATAAACCAATGAATACATGCTAATTTATAGACCAACTAAATAATGAGTTAGAAATCAAGAGTATTTTTTTCATAGAATCATATAGATCAACACTGTCCAATAGAAATATAATATGAACCACATATGTAAATTAAAATTTTCTAGTAGCCACATTAAAAAAATAGAGGTAAAATTAATTTTTATAATATATTTTATTTAACTCAAAATACTCAAATTATTATTTCAACATGTAATCAGTATTATAAAATTATTAATAAGATATTTCACATTATTTTTTTTTCATACTGAGTCTTTGAAATCCAGTATGCATTTTCTCCTACAAGACATCTCAATATCAACTAGCCACATTTCAAGTGCTCAAGGGCCACATCTGACGAGAGGGTACCATACTCAACAGTGCAGATAGAGATGGATGAGGAGTTAGAGATCAGTAGTTTCAGTCCACTTCACATGTTTTTTCATAGGAAACCAATATCCAAGGAATTCAGTGACTTAGCTATGGCAAAGTCAGGATGAATACTTGGATTCCAGCTCAGTGTTTTTTCCACGGTTCACACTTTTAAGGTGAATGCAGATTCACTTCCACAGGGAAGTGCCAGCTCCCTTCCCCATCATTTTCCCACATGCCACCATCTAGCCTTGTTCTGAGATACACATACTGCTCACAGCGCTCTCCATTCAGTGACTAAACTGGGAGCTTCTCCCACAGAGCTCCAAAGTAGATACTCTACTGACATCAGTGGCTACTTACTCTAGAATTTAGGATGGTATTTTATTTTACTCTTTAGTGTGTACTTTAAGGGATGAACAAGCTCTGACAACTAAATGTTTCCTGCTTTTCTTATCTGCTATGTTACCTGTTTAAATCAGAATGTTCACTGAACACATATTTTAAAAGGATAGAACCAAATCACGTTTCTTTGTAGGGTTTTAAATTATTATTTTAACCTCATCTATTTGTTTCACGTTGGTCACATATTTGAGTCATTATGTCTTCACAAGGAATACAATCACGTCTTTACTCTTTGGGGAAAAAAAACAACAACTAAAACTAGGACCAAATTTAGCAATGTCTTGCCTCTTTAAATAGCCTCAAGTTATAACTGATATGATGACCTCATCAGATTTTCACAACCTCATAAGACCTGGATGAAAAAACTAAGAGATAAGATTACTAACTCAATCCGTGAATCATCCCTTCCTTTTTCTGAGAAAGCCTCACAGGGGTTATGAGTTTCCTGGAGTTCTTCTCCACAACTGCAGTGGGACCCTGCGGCTGATGGTGCTTACCACCACCTACCTTCAGGGGCCCTGTGAAACCAACTCAGGTGCATTCAGATCCTACTGGGCAGTAACTGTTCTTCCTGGAATGTTTTATAAGGTTCTAGGCCCATGATCAATCTACACAGGAGAACAGAGGTTGTCATTAGATTTGATTAGTGTTAACCAATTACTGTGATAGCTCAAAAAATTATTTTTTTGAAACAAAAAGTCCCTCTTCTTCCCTGTTCTTCTGTTGCAGTTATATGAACTCCTTTCAGTCCTGTCAAAATTCTACTGTAATTACAAATAATTACAAAATTATGATTCTAACCAAAAACTATTTTGTAGCATTGGTACACGTGGAACTATATGTGACTACTGAAGCAGAGAGACTCCACGGTTAATGTTTTAAAAATATAGAGCTGGCTAAGCAGCCAAGCTAGACACCTGGCTGGCTGCTGGTACAAAAGCTAGCCCTAGCTGTGGTTAAGCCACACTGATGACAGCCCACCCTTGACTATCCATGGTTTTGCCTAAGGAAAGGTGAGCACTCACCAACAGAATCAAGATTTGCTTGCTTTCCGCCTGGAATTTATACAAGGAGGTGATACTCTCTGGCTATGATGATGAAATTTAGTCAAACCTTCTACCCTCTGCTGGATGCCTGTGCTTACATCCCTTCTAGGGTGGAGCCTCAAAGGTGAGATGTAGTGACTCAGAAGTCCAGGGACCAAAGGGAGGAGAGTGTCACTTCAGAAGTGTCTGAGCTACTCTCCCATTATCCCATCGTGTATTTGGGCATCTCTCTCTCCCTTAAACAGTTTCATTATTTATTGTTTTTTTCTTTTCCCTGAGTATATTTGATAGCATTCTATTCTTAATTTTAAGGCACAAAGTAGACTGTCCTATAGTTCTCACTCCAAGACTACACAAAGCTATGGGCCGGCCCCATGGCTTAGCGGTTAAGTGCACGCGTTCTGCTGCTGGCGGCCCGGGTTCAGATCCCGGGCGTGCACCAACGCACCGCTTCTCCGGCCATGCTGAGGCTGCGTCCCACATACAGCAACTAGAGGGATGTGCAGCTATGACATACAACTATCTACTGGGGCTCTGGGGGAAAAAAATAAATAAATAAAATTATAAAAAAAAAAAAAAGACTACACAAAGCTAAATTGCTTTTGAGTTGCATTATGGCCTTATTTTTCCTGAGATTGTTGTCCTCAATAAAAACAGAGCTTTCTCCCCTGCACAGCATAAAGGAAACCCAGACTAACAAAAATAATTAATTTGGGAATTCTCTCTTCTCATCCCCCACCCCATTCTCCTATAATCCCAGGGAGAAGGTACAATTTCTCCCCAAGCTGTATGCCAGAAAACAGAAAAAGAAAAAAAGGAAACAACCTATATACAAGGGACAACCTATAAAATGGATAAATGGTCCCCAAATCATTTTACAGTCTTTTATTCTTACTTAGCATTTTGTCTGTTTCTTCCTGATTCTATGCTATTGAGATAATTCCCAAATTTCACAAAGAAATGTAAATGTCATTAGATGCAGAAGTAACTAGAGGTGACATAGAGTGTTGGAAAAACATCTAAACAGGAGGCACAAGCCCCAGCTAATTAACATTAATTGCCTGTTGCATAGTCCTGGGCTAATCAGTTAAATTCCATGAAGGTGAAGTTCTTCATCAGTAAAATATGGTATTATTATCTGCCCTCCCAATCTTCTTGTAAGGATTAAATGAAATGATAAATATAAAACTTCCTTATAACTTCCAAATAATAATAATAACAGCAAATTTTTATCTTTATTATTATTTTTGAATACCTCCTATGTGCCAGGTACCATTTTAAATGTTTTACAAGAAAACTCATTTAATCCTTATATACATTATGAGATAGGTCCCGTTATTATCGTCATTTCACGTATGAGAAAACGGAGGCACAGAGGCTAAATAACTTGTTCAGGATTTTAAAGGTAGCAACTGAGAGAGCTCTGATTCAAACCTAGGTAGTCAGAATTCAGAACTCTATGCTTTACTGTCTCCCTATACAAACCTAAATTTAAAATTATGCAATCTCAGAATAAAATTGGGAAAACTTGACAACAAGCTGTACAAAGCTCACTTCTCTATAGGAAAGTCTCTACTGAACAGTAGCCCAGTGGATAGGGTCTGCAAAAATTAAACAGTGGAGTCCAGCAAGAGACAGTGGTCATTCTTACATGTGTGTGGACAGAAGAGTCTTGAAAGCCAACAAGGTACTTAAAAGCAAAATTACCCTTTCGGACTTAAAAAGAGAAGATGCTAGTATTGTGGGTAGCCAGGCAAAAAAGCTGAAATATGTCTAACTGACATATCACACAGATATATTTACGCTGTATTTAGATAAACATTTATTGAAACTGTTCACACGACCATAATTCTGCAATTAAGCCAATGGATATACCCAAGGCCAGGTGTAGGCTATAATTGGAGTAAGACAAATACAAACTGGGCAATTTTTCTCTCATCTCACCTCTAGGCATATCGCTTCAACTCAGACATAGTGACCATTGATTTTGGTTAACAATGGGAGGGGCCAGAAAGTTTAGATACAGAGATAAATCTGTGTTCTTAAAACCCACCCGTACCTGCTACCTGGAGAAAACCTATTGGCTTCTTTTTCTTTTTCTTTCCATTTCTTTCCCTTGTTGGAATTCCTTCGCAAAGGCGCCCTATAATGACAGCATGCAGTCAGAAAGGGGAAGGTGACTTTTTCTCCTTTAATCCTTTTACAGACGGCTTGCTTTTTACATCATGAAGTGCTTACCCCAGATCCACAAACTTCTGCTTAATTTTTCCTCCTTGCACCACCAGTGAACTGGATGCCCTTAGTGATCTGGGACCTTTGGCACCATCTAGAATATACACATATGTGAAAAAGACCAATTATTATTACTTTTTAAAGCCACGAGTCAAAAGTCAGTGCATCTCTGAATCTAAGGGGTTTGCCTCAATTCCTAATTATAAAAGAAAATAATGAATGCCTTTTTTTTTAAAAAGATATAGGGAACATAGCTATATCGAGGAACATTCAGTTAAGCCAGGAGAGGTCCTATTGGACAAAGGCCCAATACTCATCACAGATATATTATATTAGCATCAAATATATTGGAATGAACAAAATAAGCAAGAATAAACACCATCAACTCATCCTTTACATTCAAAGCAGGGACCAACATGACTTTCCTTTTGTTCCTTCTCTGGCTCCAACTCTGCTTCAAATGCCTGGGCTCTGTCCTCCATGCCTTTCTTGTCTTCAAGTTTTAGCACCTTCTGATAGGAAGCCAGCCCACTTCCCCCTTATCTCCCAAGTCCAGTATAGAACGTTGCCCCTGAGAGTCTGGGAGATTCAGGGAGAAAGTGACAGGCAAAGCTTTCCCTTCTGGTCTCTCTTGCTAATGGCCTTTGGCCAGACCTGGGACAGAGGAGGGCAGAACATAGGGGAGACTTCTTAAACCAGAGCTCAACTATAAAACATTTATATCTTTGAAAGGTCTCTCTTAGCAGTTAGGTTGGGGCACAACTTGGCTGGCCTCCCGTGATGTGGAAGATGCCAAAATCTCACCAGTGTTTGAAGCTGAATGATCTTTGCCTCTTTGAATGACGCTGGCACTCTAAAGGGCAGTAGCTGCTGGGGCATGGGGACACGATGCCAAAAACCAATCAGAGGAGAGGCTTTGTGAGTGGAGTTCAACGTCAAATGTAGGAACTGGATTCCACTGGTGGCACTTATTCCACCTTGGACAGGTAGATAACTCTTAAGTCTCTACCTAGAGCTATTTAGCAAAGGATGTTGTTCGGTGTTATGTTTCAGCACATCCAGTTACCTGAGATGATTAACAAATGGTGTTTTAAATTTGATGCATATTTGTGTGTGAAACTACTCCTTCCTAATTGTCTGTTGGTGTATGTCTGTCTCTATCTTTTTAAAATTTAAAAAAATTCCAGCAACATTCTGGCGTGGAGTGTAGAGAGAATAGTCCTCTTAAGAAAGTGTTCAATTAACCTTGAACACAAGCAGGATAATTTTGCTTATAATTTTATTTATTTAATGAGAAATTTCTAAACATACACACTTACAAAACATGAAGTGCACACACACTTCTCGTTTAGGAGTCTATGTTCAAAGTGCTAAAGAAGCACAGGACACTGGCAAACACTAAGGTATTTCAGCAACGAGCTTTTCATATTTTTAGTTAATGATAGTCAGACTACCATAACCAATTCCTTGAAGTGTACATAATGAAATACAAGACTCAGAAATATGTCCACGTCAAAATCTACTTCTAGCCTCAAATATTTATTATGGATATTTGCATTATTACTCTTTGGGTAACCGAATTCAACAGCCACAGATGTGACACATATTCATAAAAAAACTTCACAGACATGGCACAAATGTCTTATGAGGGGATTTTGCTAATGGACATTAGAAAAAAAACAGGATTTCAATTTTCTTAATAGAAGCCAAAGAAAAGAAAGTGCCAGATTCTTCCAGATCAACTCTAAAGCAACTCTTAATGGCTAGGACTGTGCAAAGTTTAAAAGGAGACTGCCTAATTATTTTCTGAATTAGAGGTCGCTGGGAGATGTTTTAACGAGTGGTGAGAGGACCAGATGAGACAATGGACATGGAAACCCTCTGTAACCTATTGGTGTTACAGTGATTTGGACGTCTTGGGACTAAAAGCCTGATTCTGCCCATCACAGAGCCTGCTGCTAGGCAACCTCACATCATTATCTCATACTTTTGCCAAAGTGTGTTCCAAGGAACACTTACATGAATGCTTTCAAAAGGCTGAAAAGGTGAGATTAAATAATAATGCACTTCTCCATTTTAAAACAAATACACCTTTAACGCACATCAAAACTCCTAGTGTACATAAAAAAAGCAACATTAGATTGGTATGATTTCAGGAAAAGAAAAAGAAAGTAACATTTTTGGTTGTTTATTTAGTTATTTAGCCTTATGTAAAATCTCCATTAGGCTTTTTGAAATCTCTCCAATACTACAGTCACAAGCAATTAGAAGCCTGAGCCCTCAGGTTGGGTGCCTTAGCTTTAAGCTTTGGCAACCTGGTCTTCATTTTCAAAGGTAATAAATGATCTCCAAATAGATAAATGCTAAAGTCTTTTCTTGCTGCGTTCTCCTTAAGCTCAGTGCAATAAAACTCGTGACTTCTTCCTTTACTACCGGGACTCCCAAACCTACTGCCCAGCCCTGGCTTCTCTCCTGAGCTCATGACCTCCTCCACTAAAAATGAGTTAGTCATCTTTCCCCCAAAATGTTTCTGATTTCCTGTTTTCTATTAATGACAAGACCATATTTTCTGAGGTTAGAAACCCTGTGATCAGTTTTGACCTCCTCATTTTCTTCCCACTGTTTCCAGTCAACTTACGTTTCAAACTTTCCTGCTGCTGTCTATTGCTCCTCCTTAGAGGTATCACCTCACAGTGTCTCCTAACCCATCTTTCCCATACCTAGTGTCTTTTCCTTTTTATTCCTCTGTTCAAACAACTTGTGGTTTCCTAGTAACATGGTAAGGTATCTAAGGTATTTAAATTCTTGAACTATAGACTTAACCTACCTGTTCAATTTTATATGCAACCACTCTAACCTGCATAAACAAACTGCTTCAGGCAGACTGGGACAGCCCCAGTCCTTTAAATTCATCTTATGTGTGCCTATCTCTGTTAATGCCATCTCCCTGCCTTATATGCCTTTCTCTATCCTTTTTTCCCCCCAAGCCCTTCAGTGGTTACTCTACTTGTACATTCTTTGTCAAGTCTTGTTTACCAATCTGAGCTACATGTAACCTTGCCCTACTCTGTGCAATGATAAAATTGACTATTTCTAAATGTATAAAGGCCTAATGCAATATATTAATAATAAATGATTCTTGTAAAGATTTTGAAAAGCGAGGTTCTACCTCCAAGGATGTTAATTCAACAAATATTTTTGAAGGTATGTTCTGTATCAGGCCACGAGCTAACAGCCACATATAAACTTAGAATAATCATCTCTGGAAATCATGAGTAAAACTGATAGTGCTTAATTTTCTCTTCTTAACCTTGTTTGAACAAAGGCCCATAGCTATGTAAGTCTAGAGACCAAAACTTTATTATTAGGCTACTCAAAGAATAGGGACGAGGAAAATATTTTCATGCCTTCTACTGCCACATAACTTGTTTTATAAACCTCTAGAAATAATCATTTACTTCCTCTAACTTTAACTGAAATGGGGTTAGATGTTTTATCATTTAGCCATGGGTATTTCTCTATCCTACTTTGCACTGAGGTCCCCCAAATATGACAACAAAATGATGACTTGTGAATGTGGTATTGACGCGATTTACAAGACACCCGACGACTTCAATTAGCTGTTCAATAACACCAGAGTATTATCCTCAAGATTGCAATCAAATGCAGCTGTAATTTAATTATGATCTTCATAGTAACTTGATAGACCAAAAGTAATGGTCTGTTACTTATAAAAAAAATCCAGATAAATGGCAACCAGTGACTAAGACATTTTCAGCCTTTATCTAGCAACGTTGAGTGGAAGGAAATATACGTCTAGACCAGGGCTCAGCAAGACTTTTCTGTAAAGGGCCTGACAGTAAATATTTTAGGTTTGTAGGCTATACAGTCTCTGTCACAACTACTCAACTCTGCTCTTGTAGCATGAAAGTAGACAATATATAACTGAGTGTGGCTGTGATCCAATATGACTTTATTTATAAAAACAGGTGGTGGCCAGATTTGGTTTGATGATCTACATTGGTTATCTGGAGAGACAGACTTAATAAGTTGCTTGGATGAATCAATAATTATCAATTGTAGGCCATACTCTTTGATGGGGACCAAGGATACAAAGACGAATAACATGAAAGAGAAAACTATAGCTCACACTTGACAACTAGATCACTTATTATCATACACAGAGTGATGGAAGCAGAAGTAACAGGGTGAAAATTTCTGTGGGATCAGAGAGAAGAGAATAATTCACTCTGCCCGGGAATGGGGAGAGTGTGCTAACAGTCCACTAAAACACATGAGATTTAGCCTGGGCTTTGAAGGACACAACTTTCCTGAAATGGAGTGCTGGCAAGAATGTAAACATGAAGTCTCGCTAAACCCCATTCTAGTGCCTTTATTGATGAGCCAATGAGTTGTAAGAACTACATACAAACACATACACACGGAAGGAAACCAGGTTAACCACACCTAACCTCTGTTGAGTCCAGGTCTGAATAGTAGATTAGTCTCATATAGCAAGGAACTCAAGGATTTTACAGAATGTTATTCTCCAAATTGGATTCTGAGGACAATGAAGCTAGATCCCAGTCTGTTGATCTATACTGTATCAGCCCCTGCAATGTCATGACAATGGACGTATGGAATTTCCCTAATGTTTTAATGATACTGAGGTCCATTTCTTGGGAACTGGGTAAGGAGAGTCCTTGAGGGACATGAGAGACCTGTAGCAATGGTGGTGCTTCAGTCAAACAGGCAATTCATCAGTCAGCTCAGTCTAACAAGCATATTCCATATACACGTCCATTTAACTTGACTCTAATTTTATGCTCACTGAGCAACTTTCTGATTTATGAACCTTTCAATCAGAAGAGAGAGAACAGGACAATTGAACGATGTTGGTTACGTTAGCTGTACCTCCCAAAGTAAATCAGAAAATTAGTATTCTGGTTTAGAAATCAGTGTTTTATAGGCTCAAACAGCAAAAAATCAGTCCCTCTGAACTTGATTAAATCTGGGTATATTATTGAGTTTCTGGACTTAGAAAACTGAGGACTAGACCCATGACTCTCAATGCACTGACTGGTAATTAGCTAC